CTCCTCCGTACAATGGGCACAATGCTTCCTTGGGCGGAGAAGAGCTGTGGGCACTAATGAGGACAGACACGGCCCTTATTGCCCGACGGCATCAGAGCTACCACGTGGCAGGGGCCCTGCAGGTGCTGCACAGGCCGGGGCCAGGGAGGGATTCATCCTTTACAGACACAAAGCCTGTGGCTCAGTGAGGGCCTCACACCGAGAAGGCCAGCGTCACTGCAGTCCCCCAGCAGCAGGTGACCTCTGCTTTGCCTGGTAAGCCTTCCACATATACATCCCGTTCACAGGGACACTCGCCACGCTTGCTAAGTACATGTGTGGCCTTTGCAGCAAGTGCCTGTCTCCGCACAACACTCCTAACCCTGATTCACGTTTGGAGAGCTCCCACGCTGCCCTTGTAGACCTCACGCCTTCACAGAGCTTCCGAACCCACGCATTTGCCCTGGAGGGATTACGCCTGCACCCCAAGAAGGAAGAGCTGCTCTCAGGCCACTTGAAAAATTAAGTTTGCTCCTTCTGGGTCAAACATTCTGGAGCAAACCTCTCCTAGGACACGAGGAAAGAGAACATAGCTTACACTCTTGTGTAATAGCGCAATTACAGTCTGGGAGAGAGAAATGTACTGGGGGCGTGTTGAGACTGGAAGGGAGGACACACAGAGCCCTGGAGAGAAGGTGAAGGGCAATGCTCTCCTCCGCAAGAAGTGCCCCACCGAGAATGCCTCTTGGTACCGAGCCCTCACTGGGTCTGCCACCCGGCTACGCTGAGCGTGTGTCTGCAGACCATGAGCCCTGGAGACCCAGGGGTGCCTCCAGTCGCCACCTGAAGAGATGCCCGTCCACACGAGCACAGGCGTCCTGCCCTGCATGGGGAGAACTCCTTTAGAAAAATGCCCCTGCCCCAGCACAGCTTGCCTCTTGGGATAAGTATCTCGTCTTTGTCCTCAGTTCCTGGCACACAGCTCCCAAAGCCCGAGGAATCTCGAATGTCTTTTGTATACTAAGGAGATGACTGGTGGTTGCAGGGCGGGGTGGGGGGGGAGCTAGATAACATCAGGATGGAGACTGGAGGCCAGAAAGACCAATGCGTGGTTAGAGGGTAGCAGCTTTGCCACCTGGACTTCAGGGGAGGGGATGGCAACTAGAGAGGGAACACACCCATGCCTATGATTTAATCAGCCATGCCTCCGTAATGGAACCTCCAGAAAACCCCTAAACAATGGGGTTCGGAGAGCTTCTGGTCCTGGGAGGGCGGTACACGTGGAGAGTGTGGAAGCTCCCCACCCCTTCTCCCTTCCCTGTCCCAGGCACCTGCCATTTGGCCGTTCCTGAGCCGTGTCCTTTATTAGACACCGATAATAGTAAGTAAAGTGCTTTCCCGAGTTCTGTGAGCTGTTCTAGCAAACGATCAAGCATTTGGAAGGGGTTGTGGGAACCTGCCGCTTTATAGCCAGTTGGTGGGTACAGGTGGCCCAGACTTGGGGTTGGCGTCTAAAGGGAGGGGCAGTCTTGGGCTGAGCCCTTAACCTGTAGGGTCTGTGCTGTGTGGGTAGTTAGTGCCAGAATCGAGTTGAATTGCAGGACACCCTGTTGGCGTCCTGAGAACTGGAGGACTGCTTGTTGCGTGCAAGAAAAATCGCACACATTTGGTGTCAGAAGAGTCATGAGTAAACTGCTCAGAAGCCCCCAATTCAGCCACAGCTGCAGGGTGTGGACTGTGCGTCTCCCACGGGTCCTGCAGGGTGACTCAGATGCTCTAAGCTATGCAAGACCCCACTCTCTGTGCAGGACGGGGGGCGGGGGGCTTGCCGATGAGCCAGGTACTTGCAAAGGGAGCTGCTCTGGCACACGGGGGTCTTCGGGGGCTGCAGGAAAAAGTCCGAGCACATGGCAACTGGAAGGCAGGGGAGACCCGGTTCTGCTCTGCGAGGGTCGTGCCGGGAGACTCAAGACCAAACCCAAGCTGGGAAGATGCTCACAGAGGGAGACCAGAACCCCATTCTCATCTACTTGATCGAAGACGTGACTAGACACCAGACCCCAGAGTCATCCCTTTCGTTACCTCAAACGTCATCCACACGTCCCTTGTCAGGACTGAGTCAGAGGGATGAGAAACACAGACCCTGACACTCCGGAGGGAGCGTGGAAAGGGGAGGGGGATGTCATTGAATCTCCTGTCTGCATTCCTTGGACACCTTCTGAGTCCTCAGACTCTGCTACGGTTCTTCCCTTCTCAAGAATTACACAGAGCAGAGAGAGCACGTGACGTTGCTGGCACAGGATTCAACCTAAGTTTGGAACCCATGGCGGGTGTTTAGATCCTAAGAGGAGGAAGACACCGTCATCAGTGTCCTGCCCGACAGGCAGTCCTAGAGCACGAGCTCCTGGGACAACGCCTGTCCTTCGCTTAACGCAGGGGTCCCCAACCCCGGGGCCGGTCTGTGGCCTAACAGGAACCCACAGCAGGAGGTGAGTGGTGGGCGAGCGAGCGAAGCTTCATCTGCCGTTCCCCATCGCTCACATTACTGCCTGAACCATCTCCCCTCCACTGCTTCCCACCCCCCATCCGTGGAAAAGTTGTCTTCCACAAAATCGGTCCCTGGTCAAAAAAACACAGGAGTCAAGAACTACGAAGAAACTTGTAAAAGAACACAAGATCGTGTGCACATTCCCAGTAGTTTACTGGGTAAAAAGTTTCCTAGAAGATAGCGTGGACAGCCGTCCATGGTCCTATCCGGGGGGAGCAGAGGAAGGAAGGCTGAGAGCAGAGAGGAAGGGGGCAGACTTAAAACAAAGCTTACGCGCTTCTATATATTGTTTTTAACTTTTCGACGGGTATGCACAATTTCTGTAATGGTATTAAAACAAACACAGTTTAACTGTCCACTTTCCAAAGGATGCTTTTCCGGCACTATATATCAAGACCTTTAAAAATAGTCTATTGCCATTTCCAATCTCTGCTCCCTCCCGGCACCTCCAGGCCAGCCCCTGAGATCTGTCCCTCTCTTAACGCTGACAGTGTCAGAAATCAGCAAACAGAAACTGTCCACCACAAAGGGACCTGGGGTCTATTTGTAATAATAGGGCACTCACTGCACAGGGGCACTTCCCAAGCAGGGGCCTTGGGTAGGTGAGGCCAGCAGCAATCTTTCCCTCAGTCCCCCAGCCTTTGAAACTTAGGCACTGGAGCATCTGCTCGCAAGGCCCCTTCCAGCTGTTATGGGCTGTGCCAGTGTCAGCATCCTGCCTTGTGGCCACCAGTTTCCTCCCAATATCTTCCAGAGACTTCTCCACGCTTGTTGCAGGGTTTATGGAGCTCTGTGACCCCCGTATGGGCCAAGGGTGGGGAAAGAGAGCTTCCCTGCGCTGCCTCGGCAGAGGAAGCTGGGCCAGCCCCTGGGCGACCAATTCTGGAATCCACGGTGGAGCTGAAGCGTGCGTACCTACAACCTAGGAATGCCACTCCCGCCCTGGAGATACTCCCGTTCTTGTGCCTGAGGACTCAGGAGACAGTCCACGGCAGCTCTGCTGTACTTGAGAAAAAGAGAAAACTACCTAATTATCCATCAGTGGAAGGTGGAAAAATCAGCCCTGGTCCACCCAGAATCCTGAACTGTAGTTCCAGCTAACGAACTAGAGCGACACAAATCAACCTGGATGAACCTCCAAACTGTCACGTTCTATAAGGAGAAAGCTTCTTGTGAAATTGTGCACACAGAACAATAAACGTTTGAAATGCCCCAACAATGCTCTAGCTGAGCCAGGGAGGAAATACACAAGAGGTGGGGTTCCAGGGGGCTGGATGGGAGCTCCTTCTGGGCCCGGGGGGCCACCCAGGTGTCCCCTCCTTGCTGTCTGCTAAATGATATGTATTTAATTTGATAATAAAATATACAGAGATACAAGGGTAAGCCTTGTACCTAAGAGTTTCTCAGCACTTCTACAGATACTTTTTGTAAAAAAAAAAAAAAGAAAAAAGAACTTACAATTATTTATGGTATTTGACCAGTCTAATAAAGTAACTTCAGCATGTGAGCTCTTAGCAGCTATAAAATAAACTCTACATAATATCTAAATGACTCAAATCTATATATCGTCTTACAGAAATTATTCACATATTATTTATATAACTATATATATATAGAGAGAGATATAATTCACCTATTTAAACTATACAATTAAATGGTTTTTAAATATATTTCACAGCATTGTACAAATATCACCAGTTTAGAACATTTTCGTCACCCCCCAAAACCCTGTCCCCGTTCACCTGAGCAGTCAATGCTCACGTCCCCACAAGCATTACCCGGCCCCAGCCCCTGGACACCACTAATCTACTTTCTGTCTCTACTGATTTATCTATTCTGAATATTTCATATAAGTGGAATCTTATGTGTCCTTTCATGTCTGGCTTCTCTCACTTAGTGGACTGTCTTCGAGGCTCATCCACTTGGGAACACGTGTCAAAACTGCATTCCTTTAGGAGGCCAAATAATACTCCATCATGTGGATATGCCATATTTTATTTATCTAGTCATCAAGTTGATGGATCAGACTTATTTTTTTGATGTAAGGTGTCTGGCGTTTTCAATAATTCTAAGACAGAATAAATTCCCCCACCCCAGCTTTTCTTCTTTTTTCAGTTGAAGTCTAGCCGATTTACAATGCTGTGCCAATCCCTGCTGTACAGCATCGTGACCCACTTATCCAACCCCACTTTATTTTTATTTATTTATTTTTTTGGTACACGGGCCTCTCACTGCTGTGGCCTCTCCCATTGCGGAGCACAGGCTCTGGACGTGCAGGCTCAGCGGCCATGGCTCACGGGCCCAGCCGCTCCGCAGCATGTGGGATCTTCCCGGACCGGGGCACGAACCCGCGTCCCCTGCATCGGCAGGCGGACCCTCAACCACTGCACCACCAGGGAAGCCCTCCAACCCCACTTTAAATTCGCTTCCTCGGTGAGGAAAGGCCCAAGGCAGGTGACGGTGCCCGGCTCACCTTCTCCTGGGCTGACTGGGTCACGCTGGACACTTGTCCCATGGCCAGCTCCAGGGGCTGCTGCAGCGGGTCCTCCTGGAAGCAGAGGAGTGGCGGGCCCTGGAACGGAAAAGCACAGTGAGGAGATGGGTGCAGTGCCAGGCAGGGTGGCTACTTTCTAAAGGCAGTGACGTACTTGCCGCAAAGCTCGGCAGACCTCAGAACGTGTGGTCTGACTTCCTTTGGTTCAATCCATGCCTCTAAGTAGCAGCGACGGGCCAATAACAGTAAGGAGCGCAGGGACGAACCCAAAGATGTTGCAGTAAAGGCGGCAAAGGGTATTTTGAGAGTTCGTGTTGACGGTGTAAGGGGAGAAGCCCAGGCTCCTGGGGTGGACGGTGGGTCTGGAGTACACGCACAGCACCTGGCCAGGTACAGCAGGTTCAAGGGCTGTGCTACCCTTCTTCTGGGAAAGCACTCTCTCCGGTTTCAGAGAATCACCTCTCCCTGTTCCACATGGGCGCTGGCACTCTACTGAGGGCGGCCCCCTTCTCCTCTCCCACTGCCCAAACGGCACGGGAGGGGGAACCCGGGGGCAGGAGCGCAGTGGGAGGCTGTGGCTGCTTCTCCCTGGAATTTGGGATTCCTTGGCTGGAAATGAACTTGGGCTGGTGGCCATGCCCAAGGATCGGGTTCCTCCAGAGCTGCCAGGCTCCTGCCCTCCAGGGTCTCCTGGTTCAACCCCGCCCTCGGCTCTGTGCATCCCCGTAAGCTTCCAGAAAAGTCCTCTGTGGCTTGTCGCCCTATGTCCATTTTGGTTCTTGCAATTAAAATCTCCAAGTGCAAGACGTGCAAGTAATGGATATGACCACAAGGCAACAAGACTGACGTTTTATAAAAGAACAAATCAGGCTTGGATTGCCAACCAAGTCTTGGCCTTTTAAAAATAAATTCTCTTGAGAAGCTGAACACTTATGCCTACAATACGACCCCCGGAACGAAACTCTTCTTAAATTCTTTTCCTGACATGTTCCAGAAAGTACATCATTGTCAAGCGCGCTCCGATAGACTGGTTAAAAAAGAGATTCAGACCCACAACTTCCCTCCATATCTCATCGATTTCTGAGACTCTCAGCTGTGATGTGCTGGTTCCAACTACAAGGCCAGATCAAGGGTAGGGAATTAAAATGGTACAAAAAGGCACCAAAGCTCTGCTGGCAAGTGCAGTGCAGAGGAATAAGAATGAAGTCATCACGGGGCTGTGTCTTAAGAATTCCCAGTGACCCAGAGTAAACCTACAAGGCACAGAACATTGTCACTGACATGCTTCTAACCTCACCCTGTCTTAGCAACATTGATCTCACCCCCTAAAAATCATCAGGGAAGAATTAAATCTACTTCTCAAGCGTGATAAAGTCGTGCTTTGGGGGCTGCTCTGCTGACATTCTCCACGGCTAGAGCTTGTTTTGGTGTGACCTGCTGACCAGGGGCTTGGGGATGACATCGCCCTGTGTGCCAAGCTGCGTGGCTGAAAGTGCAGCACCCAGCACAGAGCCTAGCACCAGGCAGGAAGCTGACCCCTTGCGGGAGTCGTTACAGCCGCCGGGACTGCGTGTGAAACAGCGCACCTTCTGCGCCAGCCTGAAGACACCATGTTGCCTTAAGCAGCCCCGATGCCACCTCCTGCCCCTGCCCGTCAGGAGGTGCCATCTATGCCCTCTTATGTATGACAGCTTCTGAATGAAAACCCTGGAAATATTTTGCTAGGGAAGTTAATGTCAAGGGGCAGTCTCACGAAGGAAATACATTATGAAATTAAAATAAGGACCCAGAGGTTCCCCATCCCTTTCTGCTTGATCCTTGAGTTTCAGGAAGCCCGGCGTGCATGCAGCATAACCACAAACTCCCACATCTCTGCACCCTGTCCTTGGGAAGGCAGCCCCGTTCCGGACTCAACCCCACTCAGACTAGAGCAAGATTTTACATCCACAGGAAAAGCAACAGGCAGGAATGGCCAGGAAAACACTGCGAAAGCAAAACAAGAGACTAGCTCTCCTTGACGTTAAGACGCACTCTAGAACCTCTGTGATTCAAAGCGTGAACACGCAGACGACTAGTAGGGCTGGAACAGGATGTCCAGAATAGACCCCAACACGTGTGGACACGGTATGTGACAAAGGTGGCATCCCAAATCACTGGCGAAAGATGGATTTTTGAAAAATCTGGATATGGGAGGAAACCCAGATAGAAGGCAAACCTCACTCCACTACAAGTAAAGAACACGACCACGCGAAGGGGTGGGGAACAGATCTAACCTGAGAAACTGAAGAAAACAGTATCCTGGCTGCACATAAATGCTAGAATCTAGTCAGTAAATGTGTTTCTCATGGGGGTACAGGTCAGCAATTCAGAAAGTAAGCTATGTGTAAACTAGAATTGGCCAAATAAATATGCTACAGAGAGTAAGTCCCAGATACCTCACTTCTGGAGGAAGAAGTTCGAGATAAGGAAAGGGGAAGATGAAAATGAACTCTGTGCCATTGACCTGGAATGCAGGATATAGGTATAGTCGTGGTTTCGAAGATGCAGACAGAGAGATGTGTGCACATGAATGTGTTAGCATCCACATATACATTTCCTAGGTCTGTCCACTAAGAGGGTCTAGAAGCAATGAGACCCCAGCAGTAATGAGCACACCTGATGCCCAGATCTTGTTTTCTAAACACTTCTCCAGGAAAAGGAATCAGAGCTGCTTAGAAAAGTGGCTGAATCCAGGGCCAGAGAAGAGGAAAATACAAGACGAGCTCAGAGCAAACACCTTGTGGAACCGTCAAGAAAGGAAATGCTAAGAAAAGAAAAAAACTGTGTGTGTATATATATATATCCCGATGGAAGAACACAAAAGAGCTTCTAATGGCCAAAACAAGAACAGTTTAAGCAACAAAATAAATAGTGATGGTACTGAATTATAACCCATGGAATAAAATAAATACCCATGAGTCCATACTGATGTAAATAATCAATTACATATACAGATGGAGGAGAAGTGACAGCTCTTTCCTGCAGTGGAATTCCAATGAATAAATGTAGAAGGAGAGAGGGAAACAGAAAATCATCATTAGGCCAACTCCACGGAAGTCAATGGCTGCAGACCAGATACACAGATGGATGCCAAAATCAGTGAGAAAGTATGAGGGGTGACAGGATTTGTACAACCTCAAAGTATCTCCCCAAGTTATGTGGTAATTATAGCAGGAAAGGATAAGAGGAGACCTAAGATGTAAGAAGAGAAACAGGCGGAAATCACCTTAACCAAGGAATGAAGGCCACTGCTTCTCCCCAGCGGTACGCCACACTGACATCACGCACCCCGTGACGCAGCACACTGAAAGGGGCGCATCACTTCCGTGGTTTGTATAACTGCAGTCCAATTGTGTGAAAACACCAAACTGAGGGACATTTGGCAAAATAACAATCAATAGTCCTCAGAATTGTCAAGGTCACAAAGAAACAAGGGAAGACTGGGAAACTGTTACAGCCTGCAGGAGACAAACGCAAAGCAGCAACTCAATCCAGGTAGGATCTGAACGGGACCCTGGAACAATAAAAGAATACTGGCGGAAAGCCGGTGAAATTCAGGCTGTTGCAAAGTCACCACGGCCTCTGCTGTTGCAGGCTTGCCCCGCATTCCAATTTTAACTACCGTACCCCTCCCTCCCCCACCCCCGCCCCCGGCCTGAGTGAGCCAGAGTCCCCTAATCGGCCACTGCTTTAACCCTGTCCTGTCTGGGTGGGAACAGATGCCTGAGGGCAACCTACATGTAGAGGCGGGGCCAAATCCAAAACTGAGCCCCTGGAGCTCTGCGAACAAAGAACAGAAGGGAAATCTCTGTGCGGCCTCGGGAGCAGCGGATTAAATCCCCACAAGCGACTTGAGGTACCTGCATCTGTGGAATACCTGAATAGACAACAAATCAACCCAAAATTGAGGCAGTGGACTTTGGGAGCAACTGTAGACTTGGGGTTTGCTGTCTACGACTGACTTGTTTCTGATTTTTATGTTTATCTTAGTATAGTTTTTAGCTCTTGTTATCACTGGCAGATTTGTTTACTGGTTTCGTAACTGTCTTCTTGTTTTTAAATTACTTTATAATTTTTTATTTTAATATTTTTTTAATTTTAATTATTTTATTTTATTATTATTTTTCTTTCTTTTTTTCTCCCGTTTCTTCTGAGCCATGTGGCTGACAGGGTCTGGTGCTCCGGTCTGGTGTCAGGCCTGAGACTCTGAGGTGGGAGAGCCGAGTTCAGGACATTGGACCACCAGAGACCTCCTGGCCCCATGTAATATCAATCGGTGAGAGCTCTCCCAGAGATCCCCACCTCAACACTAAGACACAGCTCCACCCAATGACCAGCAAGCCCCAGTGCTGGAGGCCCCATGCCAAACAACTAGCAAGACAGGAGCACAACCCCACCCACTGGCAGAGAGGCTGCCTAAAATCATACTAAGGTCACAGACACCCCAAAACACACCACCGGCCGCAGCCCTGCCCACCAGAAAGACAGGATCCAGCCTCATCCACCAGAACACAGGCACCAGTCTGCTCCACCAGGAAGCCTACACAAGCCACTGAACCAACCTTACCCACCAATAAACAACGGGAACTACGAACCTGCAGCCTGAGAAAAGGAGACCCCAAACACAGTAAATTAAGCAAAATAAGAAGACAGAGAAACACACAGCAGATGAAGGAGCAAGGTAAAAACCCACGAGACCAAACAAATGAAGAGGACATAGGCAGTCTACCTGAAAAAGAATTCAGAGTAATGACAGTAAAGATAATCCAAAATCTTGGAAACAGATTGGAGAAAATACAAGGAATGTTTAACAAGGACCTCGAAGAACTAAAAGGCTAACAAATAATGATGAACAGCACAATAAATGAAATTAAAAATTCTCTGGAAGGAATCAATAGCAGGACAACTGATGCAGAAGAACGGATAAGTGACCTGGAAGATAAAACAGTGGAAATAACCACCCCAGAGCAGAATAAAGAAAAAAGAATGAAAAGAATTGAGGACAGTCTCAGAGACCTCTGGGACAACATTAATCACAC